GCCCAAATTTATGTTAGTAGCTTATGTGTGTTTAAGTGAGGGTTTTAACTCATTTTTGTACATGGGTATCCAGTTTTCCAAGGATTATTTGTTGAAGTCAGTTGGTATCTTTTTCCTATTGAGTGGTGTTGGTATCAATTGAGTACATATTCTAGAAGATAACCATGGACTTCTATTTTATCACCTAATTACCTACTACCTATAAATTCTGGTATTGCATTAAACAGAAGTAGTGGATACAGGCATTTTTGCTTTCTTCCTGTTTTTAGAACACAGTCTTTTAGTGATTATGCCAATGAGTATGATATTTTGTGTGGGTGTTTCATAATTCTTTCCTATTACATTGAGGTTGTTTTCTTGTAGTACTTTGGAGGAGGTCCTTTTATCATAAAATGAAATTGAACTCATTTAATTTTTTCTACAACATAGAGAGAAGGGAAGTGCCTCCTTTTACCTATAAATATAGTTGGAATAAGGCTCATTGAGTCATGATATACTTTTTAAAATTATGCTCCCAAATTCAGTTTACTAGAGAATCATTGAGGATTTTGCATGACTTTAATTCAGGGAACTTCAGGTGTAACTCTGTACATGTATTTGTTTGCTTTGTAGTATTTTTATCTCACTTCAGTATCAAAACACTATTAGCTTTATAGAATAAATAGAAAGTACTTTTTTACCTTCAATCTTTTGGGGAAAGATTGACAAAAGCCCAGACTGGTGGCACAGTAGTGGATAATCAATTGGTGTGCCTTTCCCTGGGAAAAACTATTTCTTCCACTCCCAGGATACTCAGTTGTCTATATTTCTCTATAGCATTGGAGTTTCATGAGACCCTATTTATGTTACCATGTCTATTTTTGTTGTCATTTTATGTCTCATGTTTAAGCCGCCATGTTTGGCAGACCTTGCTTGTGTAGCCTATTCTTGGAGACACAATCTCATAGGAAACTCCCTGTTCCTCTGGCTCATACAATCCCCAGCTCTCACTTCCTCTGCAATGAACTCTGTGCTTTAGGTGAAGGAGATGTGTGTTTTAGGTGAGGTGCCATGCAAGCTGACAAAGGAGTGGAGCAACCCAAAATCCTACCCAGCTTCAATGCCTATAAACTGTAACAACAAATAGCATGCCATGATAACCTGAAGGGTGCAGTGGTCTCATGCATATGTTGGGGATAACCAACAGCTCTCTAATTAAACTTAAATTCTCTCAGCAGGAGGGAAATCTTGTCTGGTACTTGAAACCTAACTCCCTAACTAGTCATAGATCTTGGAGGAGAACCTATAACTGCTATTTTACTAAGCCAGCATAGCCCCTAAGTGCATTCAAACATTTGTCCTTAGCCACAGGTATGTGTAGTCTTCACCCATCATTAAGGAAACGTCTCTTTGCAACAGATGGATACCATTACAGAAAACCATAGGCTATCAAAATGCAGGACTATAAAGACTAGTCCCAACTGGTATGCCTACAGCTTACATTCTGTTACCAGAATATTAGAGCAAAACTGTTCAAAGGTAAGGCCTTTTTCTGAGAGGTCTCTTTATTCAAGTGTCTAATTACACCAGATCTCATTTTACCTCTCTGCTTTTCAGTATCTTAAAACATCTTTCCAAACATTGTCACTGATTTCATAAGAAGAGTTATTCTATTCAGTCCTCCTGCCATTCTGTACACAATTCTAGGGTTTGGGCAAACCAGCAGATTAAGTGATTCCCAGCCCTCATGAATCACCTGGAACTTATACTAAATTCAGTCCCAATTCAATAGATTTGAGGTGAGGATCAAGGTTCTGCTTTTATACTAAATCCCTTGGTGGTGTCGGTATGCCAGTCCACACCATATATCAAGTAGTGAGACTCCAAATGGCAAACAAAATGAGAGAGTGGTAGTTAATTTGGTGTTATTTAACACAACTTTAGAATGCAACAGTTAGGATTATCCAGCTTCTGTTAATAAGAAGTGCTAGAAGTGTTTGTAGGAGAGCAAGTATCAGTATTGATAAAACCTGCTTCTACCATGTTAATAGATTAAACAGTGCTGTGAGTGTGGTTATCTCTTAGCCAATTAAGATAAGCTCTGGACTTGTCTTTCTAACATATTTATTGAGATTAGAAACAAAGATGGATTCTCTGATAAATACTGGCCTGTGATAAATCAAATATATGATTCACTCAGGGAAAATTTTAAAATAACTGCCAAAAACATATTTTGCAAAGGACTATTACTGACATTTCCTTCATAAAAGAGGCATTGTGTTAATGAGTTATAGTCATGCAGTTTCATCTAAGAAGCTGAAAGGAAATTATCAGTCAGTACCAAGGCAAGTCTATACCATGCCAAGCCATTAAACACTGCAGATTTTATCCTTTAAATAATATCCTATTCCAACTCAACCACTCTTTCTCCACTATCATTGTCTTAGCTTAAGTATTTGATACCTTTCTTAATCCCAGTTTATTTATCCTTCCATTCTGAATCAAGTATTGTAGTTGGGGGTCCACCACCCAGTGCCCAAATAAATCACACAGGGTCTTATTCTTTCTTATGAATTCCTGGCCTTAGCTAGACTTATTCTAGCCAGCTTTTCTTAATTTAAATTAATCCATCTACCTTTGTCTCTGCGTTTTTACTGTTCTCTGTTTCTGTATTTCTTTACTTCCTTCTTATTCCATGTCTGGCTATGTAATTGGTTGGCTGGCTTCTTGCATCCTCCTCTCTGCCTTTTCTCTTGTCTCTTTATTTCTTGCTTCTCCCTCCACTCAGATTTCTCTTTCCATTTATTCTCTCAGCCTGCCAGCCCTGCCTGTCCTTTTCTACCAAGCTCTTTGTTAGAACAATCATGTATTTTAGACAGACAAAGAATCACAGCTTTACAGCTAAACAAATATAACATAAAAGAATGCAACACATCTTTGCATCATTAAATAAATGTTCCACAGCATAAACAAATGTCTTAAAATAATATTCCACAACAGGTGTCCATTTACTCACTGCCTTAAAATCTCTACAGTATTAACTTCATCTATTCAGTGTGAGAAGAAAGCACATGAACACTTCATAGATGGGACAACTGACCAGGTTGCTGGCCCAATCCCCACACCTCAATCTGGTACAGCCTTATTATCCCTAGTGTAGGACTCCTTTCTTAGGACCCACTCTTGCTGTAAAGTCCTTCTTCTTTCTTCAAGTCCATTAAGCATTCCTTTATAAACCTGTAATACCCTCCTTTCTACAACTTGCTTTCCCATTTTGTGAGAAAGTCATTATTTGTGTTCTGGAGGCAAAGAACAAAGAAGTCACTGACCTGGTATGTCTTTGCTGGGCATTGACTGTTCAGGACCCTAATTCTCCTGAATTATTTCTAATGTGACATGAGAAAGGTACCACCACCTTTGAGAATGAACACCCTTCATGTCCCCAGCATCACCACAATCCCTTTTCCTCTTTTCTTCTACCTCGGTAAATAGATCATCAGAGAAAAAGTCATTAAATCAGAGTAAAACATTTAAAAAATATATATCAAATCTCAAGTTTTAGCGCATTGTGGTTTTTTTCATTGTATAAATGATATGAGCTCATTTTGAAATTTATTTTTGGTTTCTTTGTTTCTTTTGGTTTTCAAGACAGGCTTTCTATGTGTTGTCCTATCTGTCCTAGAACTCACCATGTATTCCAGGCAGGCCTTGACTCAGAAATCTGCCTGCTTCCGATTAAAGGTGTGTGCTACCACGCCCAGTTTTCATTTTAAAATTCTAATCATGTCAGATTTTCCTACTGTCACCATTAGCAAAAGTATCTTTTAAAAAATTCAAATGTGCTTGTGTCAGCTTCAGACACTAAGACAGCGATGCTAATGGCATCACACATTTCCCCAGGGAAGAACACTTCCCTGTGTTACAGAGATGGACAGGGGTGTTTACAGAACAGAGCTAACACAACCAGGCAAGATATTCAAGTGAAAATATGCTCTCTGAGAAGTCTCGTGCTTTTTCAGTTCCTACATTTAATGAGTCTCTATTATTAAAATTCCCCTGTTTTCTTTTGCAGTGTCTTCCCCATGTTCTTCTCCATTGATTATCCAATGGTTATTTTGCATTTCTGGGCACTGGCTGCTAATGTCAGAGTTGTGGAAATGATGTGGATTTCTTGACCTCAAATTTTCAGTGTAGTAAAGAACAAACTAACAGAGTATTATAAGTACCAGCATTGGACACAAAGCCACTTGTTCCTCCCCAGGCTGGGGGAGGCATTCATGAACAGGAGTGACACACAAAGGGTCTTGATAAATAGGTATCACCAGACAGAGCTTCCAAGAGAGCATTGCCCATTTTTATTCTGTGTTTGCCTTTACTGGAGTAATAACACAAACTGGAATATCTTCCTAATGGGTGATTCCAAACTTATTGTCCAGCAAATAGGTAATTAGGGACTGGGAACAAGTCATGTCCTCTGTACCTCAAATTAGACCTATTTGTGCTATTTTAAAATGGATCTTAGGGGATTTTATTCTCTCAGAGAAACATTCTTTATGTAAAGCTAAGTCCAGTTATCATAGTTCAGTTAAAGATGATTCAATATGCTGGCAATTTGACTAAGGATCCCTATCATATGAACAACAGACATTGCAAGAAACTGTTTTGCAATGCACTTTAAAACAAATTTTAACATTATTTTCCTTTTATTGAAAATATATTTTTTTCTTATGTAGTATATACTTATTACAGTTTCCCTTCCCTATACTCATCCCAGTTCCTCCTCACCTCCTCTTCCATCTAGATTCTTCTCCATTTCTCTCTGTCTTAGTAAACAAATAGGCAACTAAGGGATATACATATGTATATCCCTTAGTTCCGCTGCCATGTTAGGGCCCCCAAATAACACAAAGAGATTAATATTAGTTACAATGCTGCTGGCCAGTGACTAGGATTTCTTATTTGCTAGCTCTGTCTTAAGTATCAATCATAACCATTAATCTATAAATTTTCTAAAGACTTACCTTATCGAGGATGCCAACAGCATGCTTCTTGTGATCACATGGTGACCATCTCTCTACTACATTTCCCAGAATCCTCCTTCTCACCTAGTCCCACCTATCTTGCTTCCCTATTGGCCAACAGTGTTTTATTCATTAACCAATAAGACAAACATATACACAGAAGGACTTCCCCCATCATCTCCTCTTTCCTGTCTAAATAAAAAGAAGCGTTTTAACATTAACATAGGAAAATATATAACAAAATAGTTATCAAGTAAGAACTATAGTTACAATACTTAGTTCATTAACATTTAGCAAGATTTTAAAGAAAATATTCTATCATCTATCCTGTCTCTGTAAGTCTAAAGTCTTATATGTAGCTTATCTTTTATAATAACTAAATAAAACTATAACCATAATTATCTGTCTTCAACTCCATCAAACACCATAGAAGGATAATATGAACTCTAGATAAACTCTAGATCTGGCAGAGACATCTCACTGCCTGGATAGTCACCTGAAGTTCCTGTGTAATGTTGAAACACCCATCTTCAGCACATAGGCCACAGTGTTTCTGGCAGAATTCTCAGTGAAGCAGGAAATTTTAATCTGTCTACCTGTGTTGGCAGTTTGTCAGTCATTTTTCTGTGTGTCCTGTAGAATGTCTGGCAGATTTTTCCATGAAAGCAGGAACTCTTGCCCAAACGGCTAATCTTGCCATGTTGAAAGTAAACTCCATAACGAGTTTCTTCAATGCCCATCTTCCTCTCAGATGTAATTGGTGTACCAGGAAGAATTGGTGTCTCACTACCATGAAAACCCCTAAACCATTTAAAATATCATATATTCTGAGGTCTTTAAAAGGTTTGAAGAATATCTATCCATTTCAAACATATTTCTGTATATCTAGAAAACCTAAATAATCTAACTGTAATTTTTGACTATTATACATGACTATATACAATCTGTATTTAATTATGCATTACATTTTAAAAGATTGGTGTAAACACAATACCAAACAAGAGGACAAATTTACATGTAACAAAATTATCCTTAAATTTGTATCAATAAATGAAAATCCATACCAATGTATTCATTTCTATATCCTTTTCTCCCTTTTTCCTTTAAAATAGATTGACTGTGATCATTACCATTTTTAACCAACCCCATTTAAATGAAAACAAACATGTATAAACAATATTTGAGAATTTGAGCATCGTTCAATACAAACTGTTTCCTGCTGCCTGGGGGCAATGTCCATACCACGGGGATCATGATAAAACACAGAAACCTGGCCAGGTGCTTTGTAGCCGATAAGTCTGTGTCATTTCAGCTGTTTTAGATGTTGGGTGACCTGGGACACTGTTTCAGGGGGTCTTGCTTTATCAAGACATATTAGTCTGGAAGGAATCCATAGCTATCAATTTTCTGTGGAATCACAAGCAAAAACTCTTTTCCCCAGAAACCTGTCCTTATATTTAAATTTAGAAGTCAAAGCATTTTTAAAATTTATAAATTGGATTAATTTATCTGTACTTATAATTAAATGTATTTTAGCAGCTGTAGCTCTTTCCTCAACAATCAAACAATTTAAAGACAACAGTATAACATGCAGTATCCAGAATCTGTATTTTCCATCTTTACCTGGCTTTATATTATTCTATTTCTTTTACTTCCTTTTTTTTTCTTTTTTCCTGAGACAGAGTTTCTCTGTGGAAATCTGCCTGTCTCTGCTTGTGGAGGGCTGGGATTAATGGCATGTGTCAGTATACCCAGCTACGCATTATTTTTTATTTTCTCTCCCAAACCTATGTGTATTTTTTCTTTAATGTAAATCTGTATCTTTTTGTAATCACATGAGTCTTATGTGCCCACTAACAGCCAGGGTTTTGGCCACTATGTAAATGAGGAAGCTGCTCTTAAAAGGAGTTGCAGTAGCATGTCTCCTAAAGCCTGGGAAACATTGCTCATCCAAGAAAATGCTGCTATCAAGAAACTGTGCTTGCCTCTGTTCTTTTTGTGGGCACCATTTGTAACGATGACTCTTTCTGCCACCTGCCTGAGTTCCCCTGCCATGTTAGGGCTCCCAAATAACAAACAGAGATTAATATTAGTTACAAAGCTGCTGGCTAGTGACCAGGATTTCTTATTTGCTAGCTCTGTCTTAAGTATCAACCATAACCACTAATCTACATATTTTATAAAGACTTATCTTACCGAGGAGGCCAACGGCATTTGTCATCTCTTCCTGGTATCACATGGTGACCATCTCCCTACTACATTTCCCATAATCCTCCATCTCTCCTAGGTCTGCCTATCTTGCTTCCCTACTGGCCAACAGTGTAGAACCTGGTACAGACCCAGGCAGTCCCTATGCATGCTTCCTCAGTCTCTGTAATTTCATATGAGCTTCGATCACACTGATTTAGAGTCACTTATATTTTGGTGCCCTCCATCCTATCTGGCTCTTATGCTCTTTCTGGCTCCTCTTCCTCAGGGTTCTTGAGGGATTTGGTAAAAATACCCTTTAGGACTGAGTGCTTCAAGGGCTCTCTCTCTCTCTCTCTCTCTCTCTCTCTCTCTCTTCATAATGTCTGACCATGGGGTCCATATTTTTTTCCCATCTGCTGCAGGAGGCGGCTTCTGTGAAGATGCCTGATCAGGACATTGATATATGGGTATAGCAGAATATTATTAGGAGTCATTTCATTGTTATTGTTATGTTTTCAACAAGTAGTATTTGGTTTTACCTTAGATCCCTAGGCAATCTAGTATCAGGTTCTTGGTAATCCAGTCATTGTCATATATGCTTCATGTAGAGGAAGACAGCATTAGCAGAAGCTAGATCATTTTAAAAAAGAGTTTAGGTGACCCTAGGCCCATAGAAAGATGATTTCCAATTAATGTCAACTAACTGTTCTTTTAGCTATCTCTCAATCGCAGCCACAGTTGAGAATGCTGTCATTTTTTTGAAAGCTGTATCATGGAGGCAAGCATCCACTAAAGGTGACAGAAATAGCACAATTTCTCATCATAAGATTCAAACTGAAAGCATTAACTGCCAGGTTAAGATGCATACACTTGGGACTGGAAAAATAGCTTAGTCGTTAAGAGTGAATGCTGCTCTTCCAGAGGACTTGAGTTCAGTATCCAGTGTGCATTTGCTGGGTCACAACTGCTTATAACTTCAGGTCCAAGGAAATTCCAACTTCAGATATCTGGCAACCTATTCTGGCTTCTGTAAGTACACAAAGATATACCCTCTGGTACATAAATAAATGATACAATGATTATTTTTAAATAGATGAAATAATAGTGATAATAATAAGGATCCAAGGACTTACATAGACTACTCTTAGAAATGAGGTCATCAACTCAGCTAAGGGATTCAGATTTCACTGATGAACTATTCTGAACATCTAGCTCTGTTGTCATACTATTTTCACTCCATTCTGCTCAAATGACTTATCTGAAAAGACATTTGACTGGAATGTGAAGGAAACTCCTAGAGGACAAAGCAATGAGGAAAGGCTCATGGTTCCAACTATAGCTACTTTAGGTGAAAGGAGATCTTCCTGACTCAGGAGAAAATGACAAAGTGAAAGAATATGTTCATAGCTGCAGAGATCTTTATGAAAATTAAGGTTACCTCTTCAAAGGTAATGCAGAAGATTGGCCCCATGATGAACAGAGTTATCTTGTTTTGTTCTCCTTGGAATACTAATCTTTCTTCTGTGATGTAATGCAAAGACAGCCATCTGTGTGTATCAACACAAAGAAAATTTCAAATGAAAGCTTTAAAGATATCACCATTTGTTGAAAATCTCCAAACCCATCATCTACAATGAGAAGGAAATGGTCTCTTCTGCGAATGATGCCAGGGAATGTTTGTGCTTCTGATAGGTGTTTCCACTTGGATTTAATAAGACAGATTATTCTTTAACAATATGGCTGAGGGGACTGAAGTCCAGCTGGAATGTTTCCTAGTGCTGCAGTCTGAAAAATAATGCATCTATAACCATGAGCCCCAGCAGCCACTCACTTCTTAATCACTTACAACATGGATAATAAATGTTAAATATCTTTGTAAAATTACTTGTTTTTTTTTTTAAATCTCAATATGTTGTGCTAAAGACATGATGTGGGAGAAACACTAGTTGATCTTATGGGTATGAGAAATTTTGAGTGTTTTGTTATGATGGACATTTTTTGAGATCTTGTCCCATTTTTCAGAAAAAGTTACTAATACCTAAAGTTTGGAGATGAAAACAAATTTCTAGTTAACTAAAAACAGAATCTAAAATACAGAGCCAGCAAAATTCATTTGCCACCATTCTGGCAGCAGTAGTTCAAAGAAGAGCCTAGACCGATTTATCAGAAACAAGACAAATAGATTATGCTACAAAAAGATGGACGATACAGTATAAAGGATTAGTGGAAGCAAACATATGTCAAATGTTCAAAGATCATGAGAATATGTTCTGGATAAAAAAGGGAAGGGATAAGAAATCTTGGAACACTTTTCTTCTTACCAAAAATGTTAAATTTAATCCTTAAGAAGAAACTACATTAAACCACACTTCATGTAATGTGTGAGAAAAAAGCACAGACATTATGAAAAAAAATGTATAAATCTTTATACAGATTCTAGGAATCACATATGTGCTATGGTAGTAATTGGTGGTACCCTACTTTATTGCAACAAAGTATTATTTTTTTGGTGACTGTGTCTTTGATTAGTTTTCCAGAAACACATCTTTCATTTCGTAGGACTAACTGTAACTTCTTTTGAGAACCATCCCTCTTGGTCTCTTGAACAATAAACTTCAAGTGAGAGCAATTTTACCCTCTGGTCCCAAGATACTCCAGACTCACACACAAAGTGTGGCATTTCCTGGCCACATGTGTCTTTGAATTGTTACTCAGTATCAGGAAAGGAGTAGGGACATGTCCAGTTGGAGCCTCTGAGAGTCAGGTTGAACACAGTATGTCATGAACATGCTGAGCAAGTTTTGTGAGTGAGAACAGAGTTGATCTGAAAAACACCATTTAGCCTGAAGCCAGG